CGGAACCGGTTTCTAGGGGCTTTAAAGGGGCCAGAAAGTTATGAATTTTTGTCTTTTTGGCTTTTTGCTTTAAAGGGATTGGAAAGCCTAGAATCCATAGAGTTGACACCTTAAGGGACAGAGACAGCAGGTTGCAAGTGGATTTTCTATTCTAAGGCAACCGGCAAGTGAAAATCTCGTAGATTCGACGCTCTAAAGGTACATGCAAGTCCAACATCCATAGGAGGACACTTTAAAGATATGGAAAGTGGGAAATTTTCAGATGTGGCACTTTAAAGGCACTTGTAAGTCTCAAATCCACAGAACAGTAAATTTAAAGGCACTGGGAAGTCCTTAAGGCCTTCTGACTATTCCGTAAACTCCGCTCTTGCCACCGGTTCAAAAAAGATGCAAATTCCGCAATTTACCCCTCCCGCGGAAATTACAGGGTGTCCCAAAAAAAACCCCCCCTCGGCATTTGGCCGTCTTCTATCGGATCGGGGCCAAATTTTTACCAGATGGGGACCCATAAAAACTATGTGCAGCCAAATTTTCTAAGCAAAATATTGTAAAACCAAAAAGTTATCGCTAAAAAACTGATTTTTGGAAAACGCTGGTACTCGTTTTTGGCTATGTTTTCGCAATTAGCATGCGGATTTTGAGTAATTTTCCAAAAAGTTTTTCGGTCAGTTTCTGGCAATTTCGATAATAAAAAGTGATCGAAAGGCCCGATTTAAACGTAATTTTCGTAAATCAAAAAATTTCTACAGGTAGAAAAGAGCGCCCTCTTCATTTTTGCTAAACATTTCGAGGCCGAAATCCGTCAAAATCCTAGTGAAATTGGCAAAATTGACCTTAATTTTGATATAACTTCTTTGTTTTACAATATTCGGCTTAGAAAATTCGGCTGCACATAGTTTTTATGGGTCCCCATCACTGGTAAAAATTTGGTCCGGATTGGATGGAAGACGGCCAAATGCCGGGGGTTTTTGGGCCCTGTGTCGCCGCGTACCTCGGTAGGAAATTGGACTGATGAAGGCTTTTTGCTTCCCGCCACATTCAACATGGATAATCACTTTGTGGAAATTATAGGAATTTGTTCCCAAATTCCCAAAAGATCCATGCTGGCCTGCTAGCCTTTTGGGTGGCGTTATTTAAGCTGTCGGTATTTTGGAAAACGCTTTGTTGTCTTTGCTAGCCCTATTTTTAATAGAATTTTTGCATTTTGGTTTGTCGGTATTATGGGCTGTCGTATCTTTTTCGGTATTCTGGATGGTCAGTATTAAATCGCGGTTTTTTTTAGTTGTCTGCCGCCACTTTGGTTTGCGGGTATATACGGTGTCGGTATTATCGCGTATTTAGATGTCGGTATTTTCTCTAGTCAGTGGCCCCCAATCATTTTTCCAGAGTTATTTTGTACTTTTCCAAAAGCCCGCTGGGGCTGGTTGGCTGTGGTTGGGTGGTGGTGGTGGTGTTCCGGGGGGTGCCGCGTGGTGGCCGACGGTGCCATCCCCCAAACCGCCGGCCGGCGGATGATGTACAACAAGGAGAAGAGGGGAAGAGAGAGAGAAGGTGAGGGGCCACGCAGCACCACAACCACCCCCCGTCGACGACGTGCTGGCCAAGGCAATGCCCACAGGGGGGAGTAGCTGCACATACAGCACTACTATACGATACGGGGGGGAGTGTGACATGATATAGGTGGGGCACAGGCTTGGGGCCGGGCTTACTGTTTTAAAGGGAGGGTGACAGCCAGCCAGCCTGGCTAGATAGGACTTAAAGGGATCGTGCCACCAAGGTAAAAGGAATTTAAGGGTTTTAAAGGCATGGTGGCAGCACGTTGTTTTTAGGACAACTCTCTCTCTCTCTCTCTCCCCTCCCTCCTCCCCCTACGGTCTATATCTCTCGCTCTCTCTGTCTCTCTCTCTTTCTTTAGCATTCTCTCTCCCCATCTTCTAGCAGTTCAAGCATTAGGGAAGGAGTGAAGAAAGAAAAGCAGCATCTTTCATGCCCTATCTGAATTTCCATTTCTCGATACGACTTATGAGCATCATCTCCAGGCAGTTCACTCGCCCTCTCTCTCTCTCTCTCTCTCTCTCTCTCTCTCTCTCTCTCTCTCACTCTCTTACTCTCACTCCCTCTCTCACTCTTTCTGTCGCTCTCTCTCTCTGTGGACTTCTCGATCCCTTTAAACCCATCAAATTCGGTCTAATGTAAGTACGATCCCCGTCTCTAAAACCGACATTCTGCGACAAATATTTTCCGCAATTAGCATGCGAAAATGTTCCAAAAAGCTGCTGATAACAGCCCAATTAAATTATGGCCAACACCCCATCGAAAAACTGCTAACCGCACACGAAAAACAAGGCCCGATGTTCGGCTACCGTACCCCCGCAGGCCAGGAAATTGTAGCGGTTTTTGTAACACATTTTGGCCTCCCACATCTCCTACCCGGCCTGAAAAACATGTTTTTTGGAGTGTGTCGTTGCGCTTGTTGCACCTCCCGCTAATCGAGTGGTCAACGTTTCCACCAATTAGGGGAGGGGGACTACGCTGCGCAACTTGTTGACGCTTCAGAATTCGAGGAATCGGGGAGCGGAAATATGGGTGGGGGTTTCCTAAAGTTTTGTCTAATCTTTGGAGCTTTGGAGAGAGAAAGAGAGAGAGAGAGAGAGAGAGAGAGAGAGAGAGAGAGAGAGAGAGGAGAGCTTGAACTGCTTGGATATGTGGCTCAAAAGACCTAGCGAAGGAAAGAAGGACATTTAGCCAATAGAAGATGCCAGCTCTACTTTTCCAATTTCTTCTAATTCTTGAACTGCTCGAAGTTGTGGGTATATCAGAGGCAGAGTAGGAGCAGCAATTTGGCGTTAGATAGAAAGGCGTCTAACAACATGCCTCTAAAATTGATGTCTTTATCTACGGCTACATGACTGCGTGAACTGCTCGAAGTAGATGGACGCGCTTCAAAGGAGAGAGAGAGAGTGAGAGAGAGAGAGGGAGAGAGAGAGAGCGAGAGAGAGAACACGATCCAGGCGTTTGGCGTTCTTCCCTTGAGTTTGGCGTTGAACTGCTCGATGATGAGGCTCGAAGACCGTTAACGACTCAGGAATTTCAACATGCGATCGACCGAGAGAAAGATCACTCTCACCTCTTCCCGGACACTTCCCTTGAGCTGTCCCCTTCCATTAACACCTGAACTGCTCGGATACGCTGACCGGTCCGCACTTTCTGATCCCCAGCTGTTTTTTTCCGCAAAATCAAGTGCCCAGCTATTGTTCATGATCCGTGTTGGGCAAGCGGGTTCGAGTTGTGTCCGTTTGTGTGTGTGTGTGTGGTGGGGTGAGATAGCGGGTGAGAATGAGAGACATTGGGTAGTGGGCAGTGGCAGTCGGTGCCTGTCGGTCCCTTCCTCCTCCTCAACACACGCCCCCTTCCCCTCTTTTCCATTCCCTTTTGCAATAGCCACAACCCCTTCCCCCCCGTTTTCCCCCCAAATACATACACACAGCCAATGTCCAGCATAACCTGGAGATGATCAGCCTTTTCAACCTGGTCAGCCGGCCAAGCGAAATTTTTTTTGTTGGCTTACTTCATGATGTTAAAAGATTACGCCATCAATGTACTCTTTCGATCCTCTTTATGACATACTGTACCTAGTACTGTAGCGTACTCCTTTTAAAGGACCTTGAAAGTCTAACTTTCTTTTCATTATGGAATGATATTAATAGATTACGACATCCATTTGCTCTTCCAGCCCGATGTTGCATACTGTATCCTGTATGTCTTTTAAAGGGAGTGTGACATCTGATTTTGTGTCCCTTACGCCATGATATTAATAGATTACGCAACCCTTTTTCTCCTTAAACAGCCCCGATTTTATACTGTATTCTCTCGACTCCTTTTAAAGGGAGCGTGACGTGCTGATTCAATTCGGCTATGAGACCGATAAATTGCACATTATTTATTTCTCCTTCCATCTCCAAGGCCTACCGTAACGCACCCCTTTTAAAGGGAGCGTGACCCCCTGGAATTTTTTAATTTTGTGATGCCAGCAGCATATTGAGCTTTTCTCGCGCTCTCTCTGTCTCCCTCTCTCTCTATCTCTCACTCTCACTCGCACTCGCTCTCTCTCCATCTCTCTCTCTCTCTCGCTATCTCGGCGTCGTTATTTAGCTGGATTTTTGCCTTCCCAGCCCCTTTAAAACTTAAAAAAACGATTTTTCGGGCCTGATCCCAGGTATAACCAGCGCCACGTGTGCGCGCGACAATATTGTCAGCAGTTCAAATCATTTACTCGGTTCTCTCTTTCACTCTCTCTCTCCCTCTCTCGCTCTTTCTCTCCCACTCTCTAGTCTGGGGGGGTTCCATTTTTTGCGAGGCTGTTTACTATTTTCGCACATCTCTTTTGGACTGGGCCGGCTGTGTGGAGAGCCCTTTTTCGGGACTCTGGAAGGGGCGAGAGAGGGCACAAATAGGACTCCGATCTCGCCATGCGTTCCCCTGTTTTTGTCGCCTCGAATTTTTTGTGGTCTCGGCGTCTGGTGGATGGTCATTTTTGGGGTTGACCAGCTGGCAATGCCTCGATTTTTTGTGTGAATTATTTGGTTTTATGGAATTTCTTGTGATCTCTCACTTGTTGTCTCTCTCTGTCTCTTTCTCTCTCGCTCTCTCTCGTCGCCCCCAATTTTTGGTCCTCCCAAACACAAAAAACGGAAAGCAGAAGTACATTTCCAGATAAGACGGCCGCGATCAGCCGTCCGGCGCGAGAGAGTGAGAGACGCCGAGAGAGAGAGAGCGATAACAAACATAACCATTTACCCGAATAAGCATGACCACCTTGGAACAGACGGCCAGCATTGGCCACCATCAGACAATATTGGAGGATAGTATCAAGGTTTGTCTCTCACTCTCTCTCTCTCTCGCTCTCTCGCTCTCTCTCACCCACTCTCTCACTCTCTCTGGCTCTCTCTCGTCCCCTCTTTCTCGATATCTCGCTTAAGCCTAAGCTTCATTTTTAGACAATGTCCGATGACGAAGAGCTCGACGAGGAGATGCTCCTCGACGGCGACGACGAGCCGGAGATGGACGAAGAGGAGGAAGAGATGGAGCTCCTCCGCTCTGAGGGCATCGTCGACGCCCTCGAGGAGAATATACGCCGCGATTTTGCGCTTAAGGTATAACCAGTTTCCGGCTGAATACTACATTTTGCGTTTTTAGGCGCTAGCGGACATTACGCTTGGCGGGCACCCGAACAATTCGCCGAACAACACGACCACAGACGAGGTTCGTGGTTCTGAATTAATTTTTTTGGACTGGAAATTCCGTACTACTTCTAATTCCGCTTTGCTCGTTCTCTGGAAGACTTTTAACGGATTTATAAAATCGGCTTTTCGCTCTCTCTCTCTCTCTCTCTCTCTCTCTCTCTCTCTCTCTTTCTCTCTCGCGCTCTCATCTTTCGTTTTTCCTCCTTTTTTCTAATTTTGACTCTTGATCCCTTAAAAATTACGTAGCTAGAGAATTCGAGAGATAGAACCCGACCCAAAGATAAATCCCGAAAAAATAATTCCACATAAACAAGGCAAACTCTCGAGAATTCGCGTATGTGTTTGTGCCATCCCTTTTCGCCCTTTTCTCCCCCTTTCCTCCTCCCTCGCCCCAACCTTGTTTGCGTCCAATTTTTTGCAGCGGCTCCGAAAAAAGAGGAAAAGTGGACAGACAGAACAGACCAGAGTGACCAGTTGTTTATCCCGAAAAATTGTGTTCTCTCTTCCCCCTCTCTCTCTCTCTCTCTCTCTCTCTCTCGCTCTCTCTTTCAACAAAGATAATGACGGAAGAAGCATGCAATTGCAAGGAAAATCTCGCTGTAAGGGTTGTCCAGCGGAAAATCGGTTACCAAAATGATCTTTTTAACTTGAATGTCCCTTTAAAAGCCGCTGAATTTGATGGATGTAAGGGTTGTCAAACGGAATTTACGATTTCCGGTTAGGCTTCAGCTTAGAAACGGGTGTCTGCTTAAGCGAAGCTACTGCTTAACTTACAGATACGGTTGGGGTAGCGGAACTTTTGGTTGTCACGCGTAGCTTTTTTGAGAATTGCGGCATTTCAGAAGCTGTGACAAATCCAATAGTTAGTGAGAAAGAGCGACAGAGCGAGAGAGAAAGAAAGCGAGAGAGAGAGTGAGAGAGAGAGCGAGAGTGAGTGAGTGAGACCTACTGGTGTTGGGGGGGTCTGGCCCGGTGCCAGGCCGGGGAATGGTGTCGTTCCGTAAAAGTGCACATTCCCCGTGTCGGGCCGTGTTCCCTTCGCTCCAACCTCCTCTCCGCTGGGGCGACAGACACCGATACCGCCCCGCTTGCTGCTGCTGCTGCTTTTTTTGTCGTGTTTGACCGACCGGGGCGGCCCGGAGGGGATGACCCCCGTCCCGAAATGCTGATAGTATACGGGCGGAAAAAACGCAGGGGAAGGGGGATGTTTTTGGAGCCTAGAATAACTGTGGAGGCATATGCTTGGGCTTAGGCTTAGGCCTGCCTTAGGCTTAGGATCAGGCTTAGGCTAATGCTCAAACTTAGTTTGGGCTTAGGCTTACAAGGGAATGTTTTCGGGCGGACATCGGACCCAGATATGTGAGTATGTGCATCTTGTAGAGCTCGACGAGACGAATCGATTGATGTAACTTTTAGCTGCTGATACCTTATTTTAACAAAGTTACAACGGTTTAAAGTTTTGGGCGATACCTTCATAGGCCCTACCCACGCCCCAACCATCGTGTCCTGGTAGCCTAGTGGCTTAGTAGTAGGCGTTTGGAGATAGTAACGAGGGTACGGATCCGCTCGCGATTTTTATTTTTTGCTTTTTTGGCCGAAAGCTTCTTTTTCGCACACCCGAAGGTCTACAATAACTTTTTTAAAGTTTTGTTTTGTATTTCCAGGACTTCTACCAAATTGGGTGACGGTATTTAGTGGTTTTTTATTTGCAAGCACAGCCAACGTTGATGACTTCAGCTCGAAAAATCTCTGTGTTCCCTTTATGCTTGTTTATTGGGAATATGTAACTAGCGAACGTCCTAGCGCTCAAAAATTTTTAAAAAAGTTATTGTAGACCTTCGGGGGTGCGAAAAAGAAGCTTTCGGCCAAAAAGCAAAAATTAAAAATCGCGAGCGGATCCGTACCCTCGTTACCATCTCCAAACGCCGACTACTAAGCCACTAGGCTACCAGGACACGATGGTTGGGGCGTGGGTAGGGCCTATGAAGGTATCGCCCAAAACTTTAAACCGTTGTAACTTTGTTAAAATAAGGTATCAGCAGCTAAAAGTTACATCAATCGATTCGTCTCGTCGAGCTCTACAAGATGCACATACTCACATATCTGGGTCCGATGTCCGCCCGAAAACATTCCCTTGTTAGGGAGCGACAGAGAGAGAGAGAGGGAGAGAGAGAGAGAGAGAGGGAGAAGGAGGGAGAGCAAGGGATAGATACACACCCTTCCCCAATTTCCAGAAAATTTTTTACCAGAAAATTACTTTCAATGCCCTAAAAATCAACTCCCCGTGGCTACAAATGTTTTCAAAATTTTCCTGGCGTTCCAATGGCTTGTCCGAGTTGGCTAGTGCCACCCAATTAAAATATATTTTTGGGCTGTGTTTGGGGGTGTGTGCGTTCGAGATTTCGGGATGATGGTGTCAAAAAGCGGAAGAGAGAGAGAGAGAGAGAGAGAGAGACCCCGAAAAACGGCTGGATGGCACGGGCTGGCCCCGGGGAGGGATTGAAAATTGACCCCCGGGAATCCGGAGCAAAAGACCAAAAACCCATGTCGTACCAAAAACCCATGTCGTACCAAAAACCCATGTCGTACCAAAAACCAACTTGGGTTGGCTTGGCTTAGCTTAGGCTTAGCTTCGCTTAGCTTAGGCTTAGCTTAGGTTTAGCTTAGGCTTAGCTTAGGCTTAGCTTAGGCTTAGCTTAGGCTTAGCTTAGGCTTAGCTTAGGCTTAGCTTAGGCTTAGCTTAGGCTTAGCTTAGGCTTAGCTTAGGCTTAGCTTAGGCTTAGCTTAGGCTTAGCTTAGGCTTAGCTTAGGCTTAGCTTAGGCTTAGCTTAGGCTTAGACTTATGTCCGAAAGCCGTAAAAAGTCGTCATTATAATTGTATATGTTTTACACTGATTTTCCGCCCGCAAATCCACTCAAAGCCGCGCCCGAGCCGTGCAGGGAATTCAACCCGAAAAAGCACATTTTTCACCCCTCAATGCTATGCGTTCAACAAAGACAATCCGGATGACTGCCCGGGAAAATCTGCCCAGGTGGCCATCGGTCAACGCTAATCTTAAATAAAATAAAACCGAAATTATTCGGGCCCGGGGGAAATTTGATGTTGCGCGTGTTGAAAAAGGACGAAACGATTCTGCAGAATTTGTTAGTTTGGTAATTGGATTAATTTGTCGGGGAAACGGCTCGAAAAGGAGAAATTCGACGAATTCGACAAGTTTATGAAAATCTGAGGGGCCGAGTTGGAGTGGAGGTACTTTGAATTTATCGGGGGGGAGAGGGCAAATTATCGTTTAAGTAAACTTTAGTTAACAACGCAAAAAAATTCATTTTTAAGAATTTATAAGTTTCCAGTTTGATTTTTTGTTGGTTTAAGGCTTAGGCTTATGGATTTCGTGTCGTTTCTCCCATTTTCTGACCTCAAAAAAAAACGTTGTAAACACTTCAACGCTGATCCAATAAAATGCAACAAACAAGAGAACGGCATCACCCGGGTAGGAATTCCCCCCTTGCCGCTCTGATCTCTCGCGATGTTTACCCCGAAAACCAGAAAAAGTTCCACGTTACCCCCAATTATTCAGCTCTCAGTTTCTGAGTTCTTTGATATCATGAAGAGCAAAGCAGAATTCACCGGGAGTTTCCGCCAATTTCTGCGCGCAAAATTGGACCGACCAAAGCAGAGGTTTAGCGAAAAATGTTGCAATTTAGCCGGGAGGGAGAGGGCTCAGAATACGCGTTCGGAAATGGGTGTAAAAACAGACTGACGCGGATTTGGGAGGTTGGACAAGTTTAGGAACCGATTGAGGAGTTAAAATTATGCAAAATTGGAGCTATCTCTCTCTCTCCCTCTCGCTGTTGCTCTTTTTCACCCTTTCTCGCTCTCTCTCTTTCTCAGGCACTCTCTCTTCCTCACGCCCTTTCTTTCTCACGTTCTTGCTCTCTCTTCCGCTCTCTCTCTCTCTCTCTCTCTCTCTCTCTCTTTCTGCCCTAAAAACACTTGAGCAAGTCATTTGTAGCGGCTTTAAAGAACTAGTCAAAAAATTATCTCTCGGAGCTACTTGTCTCTCTCCACCCTTATCTATCGCTCATCTTACAGGATGACTCCTCCTCATCATCAGTTGATGGCCACCGATTCTCTGCCGGCTCCCTCAGCCCCCCAAATCACAGTGTCGACAGCCCGCCCAGCAGCAGCGAGGTACAAAACCCTAGAAATTAAAGTACGCTCCCCCTAGCTGTCCTCCTCCGGCTCCTTCTCCGCCGGCTCCACAAAAAGCAAATCCTCCTCCACCCGGCCGGCCCACGAGAAGAAGCACAAGTGCAATACTTGCGGAAAGGTAGCGACAATACAAACGAGTTTTGTATCATTAATTACAGGCATTTTCCTACCTGTCAATCCTGGAAAGCCACAAGCGATCGCACACCGGGGAGAAGCCGTTCAACTGCCGGTTCTGCGACAAGAAATTCGCACAAAAGGCCACGCTGCAGGTGCACGAGAGGACACATACCGGGGAGAGACCGTAAGTCTTTTTGGGGTTTTAGCGGTGTTAGGCTTAGACTTAGGTTTAGGCTTATGATTCGCTAGGCTTGGCTTAGGCTTGGGCTTAGTCCTGGGCCTAGGCTTGCTTAGGAATGGGCATGCGCTTCGGATTCGACTTAGGCTTCGGTTATGCTTAGGCTTGGCATAGGCTTAGGCTTAATGGAGGCTTAGGCTGTGGCTTAGGCTTAGGCTTAGCTCTGGCTCCGCGTGACTAAAGCTTAAATTAAGCGTAAAATCATCCTTACCGTATCATATTCCAAACTTCAACCCCCCTTTTCCAGATACAAATGCAAATACTGCGAGAAGACGTTCGCCCAGTACGGCACGAAGACGGTGCACGAGAAGAGCGCCCACCTCGGCATCAGAAACTACAAGTGCCCGCTGTGCGAGAAGAACCTGTCGTCGCCGTCGGCCCTCTACACCCACAAGAAGACGCACGGGGATAAGGTCTTTAATGTAAGTATCGGAGATTAACTCACCAGAACAAAATAGCTCTAGCTCAAGAAAAACCTATTTTTCAGTGCGAATTCTGCACGAAAACGTTCACGCTGAAGAACTACCTGAAGCTGCACGTGAAGCAGGTGCACGAGCAGAACGAGCGGAAGCACGTGTGCAGCTACTGCCAGAAGAGCTTCGCCTACGCCGGAAGCCTACAGGTATCGTCCCAGATTGCTTCATGAAGTTACGTCGATTTTTCTAGGTCCACGTACGTACCCATACGGGCGAGCGGCCGTACTCCTGCAAGTTCTGCCCCAAGGCGTTCGCGTCTCAGGGTAATCTACAGTCGCATGAACGTACTCATACCGGAGAGAGGCCGTACGCCTGCAAGCAGTGCGAGCGCACATTTATACAGGTTTGCAATCGATTACGCGATTTACGAGCTTGTCCCTGCCGTCTTCCACTTACCGTGTATTGGCTCCCCACTATTCTACAGTAGTTTGGAAACTTTTTATGCTTAAAAACGTGAAAACAACACCAAAAGTACAGTAGCAATTTATCAAACTTTATTTTCAACAATTTTCACCTTGTATTTTTTATTTCCGCCATTTTCGAACTGAAAATCGGTTAAATGAAACTTTGCCTGGCAATCGGTTACGCCATCTAAAAAATTCCGTTCAGAAAAGCCAGCTGACGGCCCACGAGGCGACGCACAATGGGGGAGGGGCAGAGAAGAAGCATTCTACCGCTTCATCCACCGCCTCAATCCACCAGCTGCCCATCGGGGAGCACACCTGTGCTGGGTGCTCCAAGCGGTTCTCCTACGCCACCAATTTGTGCGTTTTTTCTGATTTTTATCGTTATATTTCTACTTTTTTATCGATTTTAAAGCGATTTTATTCATTAAATTTAGATGCCCGTATTGCGGAGTGCAGGCGAGCTTCCAGATCCGGCAACGCCCACTTTCTGGGGATAAGCCGTAAGTTTTTGGGTTTTAATAGGAGGGTTTTGTTCCGCTTCTTCGCCTGGGTTTTTGGTTTGGTTTGGTTTTCGCTGTGGGGTCTCTTTGGGTTTTCTTGCTTTTTTTTTTGTCTTCTTTTGCTTTCGTTTGGGCTTGGCTTAGGCTTAGGCTTAGGTTTAGGCTTAGCTTAGACTCAGCTTAGCTTGCCGACCTATGTAAAAACAACTAGATCCATTTTTCAGGCACAAATGCGCGGGCTGCGGCAAGGGATACGCGCAGAAGATCGGCCTCCGCGCCCACTGGGAGCAGTGCCCACTTTTCAAGGTATTTCCGTAAACTGTGCATCATTTACCGTACCCCCTTGCCAGGCTCGTGCTCGTGTCTCATCCGAATCTCCCATCAACGTCGAGACCGACTCGGACGGCACGTTTGAGGACAGCCCCAAGAAGCTGGCGATGCTCGGGAATTATGGTATGTAAATTTCTTAAGAAAACTAGGTTTAAAATTTATAAAAAAGTTTGCATCTTTTTAAACCACCACTTTTAAAGAAATTATGACGGAAAGTGTACTTAGAGACTCCAATTTCGAAAAAATCGAAAAATCGAAAAGTCAAAAAAATCGAAAAAAATAAAAAAACTCTATTACGGTATAATTGGCACCCTTTCAGAACCAAGCGCCTTCTCGGTGCCGGTGGTCAGCCCCGCGCCGCTGAAGCTGAACCTCCCCTTCTCGGCCCTGCCCCGCCCCCTCCCGCTCCAAATTCCACCACACAACTATGGACCCCTCAGCGCCAGCAAGCCGCCGTTTTCGGCTGACGTAAGTTCAATTTGCCGGGACTTGGGTTCTTATTCATTAGCGGGGGGGACGAAATCCAATTTCGAAATTATCATTTTGAAATCCTGAAAATCATACACAAAACGTTCTTTAGTGCTCGCTTCCGGACGCGTTCGCCTTCCAGCCCTGCATGCAGTCGGCCACCGCCCAACTCGCCGATCAGCTGCTGCCCCCAACACCCACATCATCACTCCCCACTCCCACGCTACCACCACTCGACCCCGCACTCCTGTCCACGTTGCTGTCGGCGGGCGGGCCGAACGCGCTGCCCCAGTTGCAACTGCTGCTCCAGGTTAGTGGACTGAAAATTGACAAGCGACGTGACACGCTACGCACATGCTCACCGCGATATCATAAAATGAATCCAAACTGCTTGATATCGGCGGAGGGGCGTGCGCGTTGTGTGTCGCCGGCCTGTCCAAACTCGTAGCCAAATTTCAATCTACCTGCAAAATCTAACCTCTACCTTTTTCAGCTGCAACAACAGTCTCAAACCGAGGCCCTGGTGCAGCAGCTGCTGCTCGGCTCGCTGCCGTCGCCCCTCCTGCAATTGCCCCAGCTGAACCCCTTCACGCTGCCGCCCCTGCCGACCAGCACCAATTGTGAGTTTTTGGCTATTTCTAGGCTCTTAAAGGTGGCTTCAGGCTAAGCTAATCGTTAGCCGAATCCCAAGCCAAGCCTTAAAAGGCAGCTAAGCCAAGCGTAGCCTAAGCCTAAGCCTACGCCTAAGCCCAAGCTCAAGCTCAAGACTAAACCCCAATTTTCAGCCCTCCTCACCACCCTCCACACCCCGACCCCAATGAAGCCCGATGCCGCCGTAGCCGCTTCTGCCCTCCTCCAACTCTCCACCCAGGCCATCTAGCCCTAATAAGTCAATACAAATTCATCCCCCTTTAATTTGCATTTTTTCGTGGTCTCCTCCTCTTACAGTGTATGTTGTTCGTTCTCCCGGTCCTCCACCTCCTCCTCCTCCTCCAATCTGTGACAACCCATTTCCGAGCCCTAGTCAACCCCCCGTTGATTCTGAATTCGAGCAGATTTCTAACCCCTCTAAGCCCTTGCCACCGCTTTTTGAGAGTTTTGTTAAAACCCATTTTGTTGCCCACAAAAAAATCTGCATTTTCTCCAAATTTCTCTTTGTATTTTTATGCTATATTTTTACGCCTTTTTTGCTAAACCTAAGCCCACCTTAAGCACCCAAAATTGTCCCAATTTCGGTATTTTCTCCCCTAAAATTAGTCACACAATCCCCCACCTGCACAAAATTTTTCTGTATCTCATCTCAGCTTCTCCCTTCCGCCTTCCGGAAGTCCCTCTCCAACCCCCAAAAAAACCTCGTCGCCACAAGTCTTTCCCCACCCGCGGTGTTTTCCTCGTTCGTTTGCCATCCGGGTGTTTTTGCTGCTGCTTTGTGTTTTTGCCGTCCCCGATCCCATTTCATTCTTAGCCAAAAGTGTAAATGCAAATTGCATCCTCTTGTCAACCCCCTTGAACACCTCGCGAATGTTGCGGCCAGCGGTGCGGAACTCGGGGGCTCGTTCCTGGGCCCCGGACCGCCGCTGTGCCATCATCCCCCTCCGGATCTCACCCCGCCCCGCGTTACTTACCCTAATATTTATCGGTGGAAATTTTTTTTGCTACCCCGGTTTTTTTCTGACGCTTTGTCGCCGCGTGATGTTCTTCTTTTTCGTCTGGTCCCCCTGCCCCCCGGTAATAAATATAGGCGTGAATTACGATGCCAAAAAAAAGCATAAATGTGTTCTGTGTATCTTCTTCGCGATTTTTCTATGAAAAACCCAGCCCTCCACCCCCTGAAAACGTGTAAATAAATGCGTTGTTGCCAAATGAGACGTTATCGCAATTTATGCACACAAAAAGGGAATATGTAACGCACAGCTATGGCAAAACACAACAAATCACCGCTGCTAGCCCTCCTCAATGGTCTCTGCTAGCCCTCCTCAATGGTCTCTGCTAGCCCTCCTCAATGGTCTCTGCTAGCCCTCCTCAATGGTCTCTGCTAGCCCTCCTGAATGGTCTCTGCTAGCCCCCCTTAATGGTCTCTGCTAGCCCTCCTCAATGGTCTCTGCTAGCCCTCCTCAATGGTCTCTGCTAGCCCTCCCCAATGGTCTCTGCTAGCCCTCCCCAATGGTCTCTGCTAGCCCTCCTCAATGGTCTCTGCTAGCCCTCCTCAATGGTCTCTGCTAGCCCTCCTCAATGGTCTCTGCTAGCCCTCCTCAATGGTCTCTGCTAGCCCTCCTCAATGGTCTCTGCTAGCCCTCCTCAATGGTCTCTGCTAGCCCTCCTCAATGGTCTCTGCTAGCCCTCCCCAATGGTCTCTGCTAGCCCTCCTCAATGGTCTCTGCTAGCCCTCCTCAATGGTCTCTGCTAGCCCTCCTCAATGGTCTCTGCTAGCCCTCCTCAATGGTCTCTGCTAGCCCTCCTCAATGGTCTCTGCTAGCCCTCCTCAATGGTCTCTGCTAGCCCTCCTCAATGGTCTCTGCTAGCCCTCCTCAATGGTCTCTGCTAGCCCTCCTCAATGGTCTCTGCTAGCCCTCCTCAATGGTCTCTGCTAGCCCTCCTCAATGGCCTCTGCTAGTCCGCCTGACTCAAAAGCTCGCTACTCTACGCTAAATCGATAATTTTTTTGCTTGAAAAGGACCAGCAAATTGTCAGAACATGACTGATGTGGTTTGTTGGGGGTATTTGTCATTTTTAAATGGCGCAAACAAATCGTGTGGAGACCCAATATCTGTATATTGTCCTCGTCTAACCGGGTGCCTCCCCCGCAGCTTGAAGCCCCCATATTTGAGCATGATTTACACATCAAACACCCACCAAATGTGGATGATCATCGTCCGCCATTAGTGATTATCGATTGATATTGTTACTACCGTAATCTAACTTAAACTACCTTATTTTAATATTAATAATACTATTATTATAATGAGCTATATAAAACCCGCAAATCCCACGATTTTGAGGAGTTGTTTTGTGCGCAGAACGTCCCGATTTTTAGGTAAAATTTATTAGTCATACGTATAATAGTATAAATTTTGGTGTTGTTGCATTATCGGGGGGAGGGGAGGACTAAAATTTCGAAAATTTTTAATGCGTTTGAGAATTTTTTGGATGGTTTTCCGTTTTAAATATTGCTAAATTTTTCTGAAAATATGAATAAAATACTTATTATCGTTGACTAGGTATTTTTAGAATTCTACAAAAATTTTGTCCCCCCCCGATAATGCAAAAGGTCTATATTTTTATAATTCACAAAATTACAGCAATTATCGCCTTGGCCGTAATAGTGCTCGTCGTCTGGACCACCGTACGCCGACGGCAAGAAGTGATTTTTGCTCAATTTTGACTAAAATAAATCGATATCTATTTAGGCGGAGAGGCGACAGATTTTCTTGAGATTCCCGGACGAGGAGGCGCACTTCAATTTCACAATGCTACCAGAGGTGGGTTGCGGTTGCGTCGCAGCTCGCTCAAAATTCCGTGCCGATTTTGTCGGAAAACCGCGATACGCAACCCGGTGCTACGGTATTTACATTGCGTAACTGGTTACGCTGACTGCGGTGGTTTAGTCGTAGCGTGCGGGTTGCTTGTCGCGGATGTCGTAAATTTGAGTATCAAGTCCGCCAGCTTGGGCTTAGGTTTCGGCTGAGGCTTAGGCTTAGGCTTAGGTTGGGCTTCGGCTAGACAGGTTTAGGCTTAAGCAGCGGCTTACCTTTTTATCCCTCCAAACCCTTTAACTACAAATTTTAGTCTCTACATTGCGGTGGACTAAAGCAGCTGGTAATGGTCCAATCGGCACCGTCGAGTTTTGACAGTCGAATGGGCATCCGGCATACATGGGCTGCACAAAATGAGAGTGTTCTAATTCAGGTAACAACTACCGTATCGATTACAGTACGATATCCCACAGTATCCAGATTACCGTCTGTATCCTTCTTTAGAATCGTCACTCCCTGGTCCTCTTCCTCCTCGGCTCGACCACTGATCCGAACATTCAAAAAGATATCGACAAAGAATCTTCCCTCTATAATGACATTGTTCAATATTCAGCCATTGATAGCTATCGAGCTTTGGTCTATAAGGTACGCTCTCATATACCGTAATCCCTCGCTATTTTAGAGCCTCGTCATGCTCAAATTCCACGATGTCTACTGCCCGGCCGGGATTCTCATCAAGGTGGGCCGGGCTTAGGCTTAGGCTTAGAAGTAGGCTCGACTTAAGCTCCGCAATGCTCCCCATTAATCCAAAAATCTCAGGCCGACGACGACGTGTTGATGGACATCGACAACGTGCAACGTCGATTGGATGCTACCGGATTTGTAACGTCAAGAAACTAGATTTTTAGCGATTTTTTTTTAGCTGGGAACCCCGTTCATCGCCGGGCTGGTTGCCGCCGAGGGTTCGACACCCATCATACGACAGCAAAACCATAAATGGTCCGTTTCCGCAAGGATCTCTGCTAGTTGGCGTGGTTCAACTTTCCCCAAAAAAACTCTGCTAGCCTGCCCTGACCCCAATAGCAGATAAGAATTTCTTCTAGTTCTCAAAAAATCTCTGCTAGCTGCCCCTGAGCACGACCTAACCCTCCCAAAATGCCTGCTGGATAGCCGGGGTTTCCCAAAGAATCTCTGCTAGCTTACCTTGCCAGAAGATAAAACCCTGACCCCGAATCCCCAAAGGTCTCTGCTAGCCGGCCCGGGGGTCATTCATTCCGAAACCTAGCGTAATCAATTCCTAAAAGATCTCTGCTAGCCTGCCCTTTCCAGGTACGTCTCTGAGGATAAACTTCCTGGCTCATACTACCCAATCTATGCCAAGGGATTGGCGTACATTATTTCACGAGAAGCTACACCAATTCTTCTTGCCTCTACTGTTAAATGGCCATTGATTCCGGTGAGTGAGAGACAGATCAACGAAGAGCCAGAGAGACAGAGAGAGTGAGAGAGTGAGAGCGAGACAGTACCAAATATTACAGATCGAAGACGCCTACGTCACCGGATTACTTGCCAAGAACACTACAATCAAATACGTGTACATGGATGGGTATATCTACGATGTAGGTGATTTTAAAGGATAAAAATTCGACGACTTTCTGACTTCACGGTCCCTTTAAAACGTCTCCATTCAGTCGGCCGTCCCGAAGAAGTTCCACTGTTTCGACGGCCACATAACGTTGATTTGTGCTCATGCTTTTAAGGTGAAAGTTGCGAAATTATTTTTTGAAAATTCGGGATTTTAGGGCGAGACGCGATTACGTGACGGTTGGGAGTTGATGAAGCAGTTGAAGTGTTGATTTTTTCCATAGGTTTGGTAGTAATAAATAACTATAGCTGTTTAGCCGTGTCTCTCTTCCACTTTCTCTATCTCGCTCCCTCTCTCTCACTCTCGCTTCCTCTCTCTCTCTCTCTCTCTCTCTCTCTCTCTCTCTCTCTGTCTCTCTCTCTCTCACTATCTCCCCACTCTCTCTCTCCTGCTCTCTCTCTTTTTTCTAACTCTGTCGCCCTCTCTCGCACTCTCTCACTATCTATTTTCGATCTAACTTTCTCTCGCTCGTTCACTCACACACACTCTCTCTCTCTCATGCATCCCAAATTTATTGCCCGCACAAGAAACAAATGACAACACATGGGAGTAGGGGGTCAGATATGGTCGGGTAAACGAGCAGTGTTCATTTGGGCAGCCAGGGAGATGTTGATCAGGACGAGTAGGCCAGTGGCAGCGATCCCTGAAACGGGTGGGCTAGCAGAGGTTATTGGGGAAACAAGCGGAATCGGTGGATACAATGGGCACAGTTGTGCTTGCAGCAGTCACTAGGGAAAAGTTGAGGTACCTTCTAGTGTTCGCTCTGCGAGGCGACTTGGTACTCGTGGGTGCGATTCTGGATCGTGTGGATGAGGAAGGCCACCAACAGGCCCAAGTAGATGGCATAGTTGATCGGATGGTCTGGAAAAGGTTGGTAGGAGAGCGAGAAAGAGAGAGACAGAGAGAGATAAAGAGAGAAGGAAAGAGAGATAAGCCCACCTAACTCTCTCTCTCTCTCTCGCTCTATTTTTCTCTCCCTCTGTCTCGCTCGCTCTCTCTCACTCTCTCTCGCTGTCTCTCTCTCTCTCGCTGTCTCTCTCTCTTTCCCTAACATACACGCTGTCGCGATGGATGTCCATCGATAGGGTCCCAAATCCGAAGTGACCGAAGAAGCCGAGTACAGCAGATACACCGACGCTACGAAGTACATCCCCTATAGAACAAAGTACACCCGTAAGCGCGTAGCGTTGCGTACCGTGATGATAATGGCGGGTATCTGCCATCCGTACTGCGTCTCACGGTTCAACCCGATGCACGACAGCGAGCTGGCGAGGATGATGACGGCGAGGCCTGGAATTGGGGCAGGTTAGCAGAGAGCTTTGCGGAATTTTGAGGCAGGCTAGTCGTGGTAATTTGGGAGGAGAATTCACGGCTACGGTTTACTTTACCCCCCCAGCCGGAAGGTTTTGGCTATAACTTTTTTATTTTACATTATTGTAGGCTCAAATTAAAACTCTTAGTATATTTTTCGACGCTCTATCGAATGGCGTTGCAAAAATCCCGACAAAATAAGCGGAAATACCGACAACTTTGAGACCCTTCGGCTGTGGGGGGTTAAAGTAAACTCTTACCGAATTCACTCACATCCGAGGAGCAGCACCATCACCCACCACTTGTTGGCAGCCAGGCAGGTGCTAGAAAAAAGATAGCGCTACTGGAAAGGAAAATTGATACGCTGTAGTTTGGAGCAGGTCGGACTCGCTCAGGCGGGAGATCTGGAAAGGTGTGTTGCGGTCCATATCCCTCTCACTCTCACACTCTCTCTCTCTCTCTCTCTCTCTCTCTCTCTCTGGCTCTCTGACTCTCATATAACCCACAGTAACCGGGTCTAGATGATCAGCCGCATCCTTCTTCTGCTGCGCACTGGCCATCAATTTCCACTGCGTGCAGCGGTCATTCTAAAAATATCTATAGACCAGCGCCCAAAACCCGCTTCGCGGGCCTTGGGCGCTGGAATGCGGCCTTTGCATGAAAAATTTGACTTCCCGATAGCTCGGGTCCTACGGACCCCTACCCCTTACCGGCCACACACGCGAGTGCAACTGGCAAGAATGAGGAAATTTGTATTTTTCCGCATTATGCAAATTAGCCTTCAGGGACCCCCAAAAATAACCAAAACCGGCTTTAACTTTGTAAACTTGTATTTTATCGAAATTCTGACAACGCCATCGGAAACAGAAGGGTCGATTCCCCCGGGTGACGGAGGTGGGCATTTTATGCACGGGAGGCCCTCAAAGCGGGCCCTCAAAGTGACATCCACACACACACACACACAGTTACACGCCAAAATTATATAAGGTAGGATTTGCCTTCCCGCGGCCTTTAAACGTCAAAAAGTTTGCCCCACATATTGGGCGGGGTCTCCGACAAGCTTGTGCATCATCTCCTGGTAGCCCTTGTTGCGGGAGAGCAGCTCTTTCGGGTAGTCGCGCAACACGCAGCTGCACGGCGCACTAAAGAGACCTCAGTCAGAGGGTGTGCGGAAGCCCAAGCCTAATCCAAAGCCTAAACCCAAGCCAAGCCTAAGCCAGCCAACCCACCCAATCGAGTTGACCACGATGAGCCCGACGAGCAGCGTGAAGAAGATGATCGAGTGGGAGATGATGCTCGTGCAATTGCTGCATCCCAGGAAGCACTGAAAATCGGGAGAAGTCTACCAACGGCACCGAGCCGTACCCTCAACAGCGAGCAGCACATCTTTAGGGAGTGGAAGTCGAAATGAAAATGGAACCGCGAAACTGCGATGTTCCAGCCCGTATTCGAAATTCTAATTGCGGAACGCTGATTGATGATCATTTCCGGTTACAAGACTGGAGTAAGTTGAAGATAGCAGAGACCATTGAGGAGGGCTAGCAGAGACCATTGAGGAGGGCTAGCAGAGACCATTGGGGAGGGCTAGCAGAGACCATTGAGGAGGGCTAGCAGTGACCATTGAGGAGGGCTAGCAGAGACCATTGGGAAGGGTTAGCAGAGACCATTGAGGAGGGCTAGCAGTGACCATTGAGGAGGGCTAGCAGAGACCATTGAGGAGGGCTAGCAGAGACCATTGGGAAGGGTTAGCAGAGACCATTGAGGAGGGCTAGCAGTGACCATTGAGGAGGGCTAGCAGACACCATTGAGGAGGGCTAGCAGAGACCATTGAGGAGGGCTAGCAGAGACCATTGGGAAGGGTTAGCAGAGACCATTGAGGAGGGCTAGCAGTGACCATTGAGGAGGGCTAGCAGACACCATTGAGGAGGGCTAGCAGAGACCATTGAGGAGGGCTAGCAGTGACCATTGAGGAGGGCTAGCAGAGGCGCCTTCGGAAGTTTTGCTTTCCCTCTCTGTCTCTGTCTGTCTGTCTCTCTCTCTCTCTCTCTCCCTCGCTTTCGGAAAACTTGCAACCCAGAAAAAGTTTATTCGAAGTTCAAAACATCATTCTAATCCTTGGCCTTCTTGGCGAGGCGCTCGACCTCGCGCGCCTTGAAGACGGTGGGCGTCAACGGGAGCAGCCTCAGCTGGCCTTCCAGCTGAACACGTCAAATTGAAAAAGGCTACGGTTTACTTTACCCCCCCCAGCCGGAAGGTTTTGGCTATAACTTTTTTATTTTACATTATTGTAGGCTCATATTAAAACTCTTAGTATATTTTTCGACGCTCTATCGAATGGCGTTGCGAAAATCCCGACAAAATAAGCGAAAATACCGACAACTTTGAGACCCTTCGGCTGTGGGGGGGTAAAGTAAACTCTTACCTTGAAAAAAGATCCTTTAGAGAATTGTCATACCACTTTGTTGTTGCCGACACGGATGGCCTGGACGGAGAGGGGCTCGACGGCTTCGCACAGCTTCCACAGCTTCTCGGCGGCGCGAGGGCCCTGGCCACGGGAGTAGATGATCGCACCCGGATTGCCCACCACCACGATCGATCTTGAATAAATGAGGAAATTAACTTGCGCGTTAGGTGTCGCGTCACGTAGCGAAATCGGGGTAAAACAAGAGAGAAAAACTAGCAACGACTCACTGATCGGGGGCCGTCTGGCGGGCATGCAAATAGAAGGCGCCGAGCCGTTCGAGGTATTGCTGCGGGTTCTCTTCGGTTGGGAACTTGGCGACGGGGAGGAGAGGGTGGTAGGACAGGTCGATCGGGAAGCCCAGGTAGCTCAGCTGAAATGAATGCTCTCTGCTAGCCCTCCTAAATGGTCACTACTAGCCCTCCTGAATGGTCTCTGCTATCATACCTGTCTCGGTGTCAGCCAATAATTGCCGTGATCATGGGCGACGGCCCAGTCGGCCAACGAGGGTTCGATGCGGATCGACAGGAACGAGGCGTCCATCCGCGTCAGCAGCCCGGCAGCCGTCTCCACGCAGCGCAGCTCGGGGCCGCAGTAGATCTTGAAACGCAACGCTCTCTCTCTCTCTCTCTCTCTCTCTCTCTCTCTTTCCTCCCTCTCCCCCCCCCCCCCCCCCCTACCATGGTGGGCGTAATGTCAGACTTTCTCAGCCCGCATCCCAGCAGCCCGGCGGTGGTGGCGCCGTGGACGGTGATCGGCGGGTCACCGCGATAGTGCGCCACCGGGCGCCTAAATACTTCATTCGGTTTTTGAAATTTCAAACTTTAAAAATAAGCCTAGTCGCCGGACCTCGGGATCGACGCGGGCATGTTCAGGTCCCACGGGGTGTACAGCTCGCCGCCGCCGCGGTAGGCCAGTCGCAGCCAGGCGGGGAACACCTAGAACGTCTTTGGGATGACAGACACCAGGCGACGCCTAAGCCAGGAATCAGACCTACCGTATCCATCCGCTCGGCATGCGTGATGGTGACAATGTCAATGTAGCCGCCCTGCGACAAGGGGGCCAGCAGGGAGGAGGTCCTGCATGGAAAGATATCGTATCCGCGAATAGTATCCCCGCGTACCGGGCGCTCTGGGTCTTGTCCTCGGCCACCCTCGTCTTCTCGCCACCGCCACCGTCAGGCACCAAGTGGGAGAGCAGCAGAGAGACTGGAAATATCACAAAATGGGGATTTCCTCAATGGTCTCTGCTAGTCTGCCGAATGGACGACGTCAAAAATATAGTGAACTTGTTTAAAAAAACAACTAAAAGTCCTAACCGCCATCAGGTGCGGGCAACGATTTGCGGGAGCTCGACGAGCCGGAGGCCATCGAAGAAGCCGAATATCCTCTAGCACAACAGTAGAAAAATCGAGAAACACCCGGATTGCGTCAGTTTAATGCGCAAATTTATGCAAAATTCGTCTAGCGCCCAAAAAATATCCAAATCAACAAGGGATTCGTACTTGTCCCTAAGAATCTCCTAACTTCCATCATCAAGAAACTTCTAAACTCCTTTGCAATCGGAGTCGGGTGCTGGTCGGAATGATCTGAACGTTTTTCTAAACTTTTTTACATATTCTTTCAGCTGATATACTTAGTGCGAATACTGCTTCGAAATTTCGAAATTAAATTTGCCTTGCAAGGTCCAATAGTAGCTCTTTTTAAAAATTCTTTTTCCGTTCCTAGCTTTGGAACGACGGATATTTAGAACCAAAACCCTAAACCGTCATTGCCAAAATACGTAAGAACAGCTTTTCGACATAGCGGGCCTCAAACGAGGCGCAATCGTCCGTGGAACATTTTAATCTATTTCGTTTTTCGATTTTTCTAGGGAATTTTCAAGATAAATCGTCTTTTGTAGCAAAACTTAATTTTCGCTTAATGAGTACAAATCACACCGTCCGAGGACAGTTGAGCGTATATAGGCGCGTCTCGTATCAGCTTTCCTATCTGTTTCTTTTGATTAAAAAATGTAATGCCGTGGCGGGGCTCGCGGCAAAAGGCCGAGGTCGCAATGCCTTTTATCTTTTCGGTGCTCTATCATTCGCCTCAATTATAATATTTTCCATTTCAGGTATGTATCGGTTCGAGTCGCTGAAATGCCCAAAATGCGAGAAGCCTTTCAACTCTGACAAGAACCGGATTCCGGTGTATCAAGCCTATTGTAAAGGCCTCAGTTGTCTTCTCTGCTCTGCTGTGTGCGCTTGTTCGGACGAAGACGACCGCGAGGATTGTCTACGTGCTGTTGATGGCTGGCTGGATGCACTGACGAAGATGGACAAGCTACAACTTTCGGAGGATAAGAATGCTTATGAGACCGATTCCCCTTGCGAGATTGTTATTCCACCATTCAGAAATTGTACGGGGCAGCGGCTGAAAATGCGCACTGATTTTGCGAACGAATTGCTGAGATTCCGCGCAGAGTATCTGGAAAGGGAGGCAGCCAATTTGAAGAAGGATTACTTGGAAAAATGCACGGAGCTGGAATGGCGCCAAATGTCGACGATCAACTGCTCGGGCTGCAAATTGGAATTTGCCTTGGACGAGCTCTTCAAATGCAAATCTTGTAAAACCGCCGTCTGCCAGCCCTGTCTCACAAAAGAACACGATGGACATGAAACAGTCGCCACGAAGCCGAAGGACAAATCCCAATTCCTCTTGCTGAAAACGACGAAGCGTTTCGATGCCCTCGTCGCCGGAAACGAGCGCAACATTCGCGTGTTGAACACGGATATTGGCGAGAAGATGAAGGAATTTCAAGCTGCGGCCCAGACCACCCTCAATCGCATGACTTTGGAGCCGGAGCGGTCGGTCGAACTCGCCCACCAAGTCAACGAAGCGGCTGACGAATTCGAGCGTATTTGTGAGAGGGCGTATCCGGTTACTCGCAAGATGAACGACGACTTCGATACCCTGATTACTCAATTCGCGAAAATTTGCCCGAAAGCCGAGGACGCTGAAGCTTAATCCGTTCTTGTTGCGTTGTTTTTGGATGCATTATTTACAAATTTGTTAACCTTTTACCGTTACCTTTGTTGATAAAATACTTTGAAAAACTTGGCGATCACCTGGAAAAATATCGGCGTTTCAGCCCTGATCATCTAATAACCGTATTTTGCCACGCATCACAGACAACTTCAGCTTCTTGTTCAAATTTTAGAGGCGTAGCAAGTTCTAATTTCGATTCTAATCTATTTTTTAATCTGTAAGTAGTTTTATAGTTTTAATTTATATTTTTTTTAAACATTTGCTAGGTCACGCTAAATCGCGTAGTCCGAAAACGCGCTACCGCATTTTCCGTGTTGGTTTCCTTCTTTTTTGTCCCGCGCTGTGTTTAATTTTAGTTTATTTATCAGCTTGTTATCTTACTCATTCTAGGTGAATATTTATGTTTTTAACATTTTATAGCTAGTGCAAAATCCCAAAATGGAAAAAGCGACGCTATGGTATTCGGTGCTCGTTCCCTTTCCTGCCGCGCTTTTGCGTCGTTTCTTCCGTTTCTCATCCTTTCTTTATCTATTTTATATTTTATATTATTATCTTATATTTTGTACTTTATTATATTCTATATTCTTTATTAAATGGCGGGTTTTCCGCAGTGATCTTTCCATATCAATACCGTCTCACGAAACTGTTTTTCTACTCAATAATAGTAGCTAAGCAGCTATTTTCTTTCTAAGCCTTGACGGTTTTGATATCCTCTTCATGACACCGTTTTCAGGACACTTCGGCAAGCAACATGGCTGCGAAGGAGTCGAATGCTACGACCATCGCCGAATTTGAGCAGTACGTCGCCGAGCAGAATCGTCTGCATCTCGAAGCCATGGTAATTTATTTCACCCATCGAAAATGTGCTTTTAGGAGGCACTACACGACAAAGAATACGAGTTAATGCAAGAATTAGACGAAAAGCGCACCAGGAACAAGAACGCCAGCGAACAATTAGAAAGGCTTCTGACGCTCATGGTAAATTAAGATGCGATTTTGACATTCCGGTTTTAGAAAGCAACATATAAGAGGCGCCAAACGAAGCACAAGGTTCCGGATTTTATCGTCGATTATGCTGGACAACTGATTACCAATGGTAGACATTCTATCTCGTTTATCACCCATTTTTAGCCGTCGTTGCCTTCTGCTCAAACTCGATTTCGGCGGCGGAGAAAAGAATCGCGGCAGAACGTCTGGTACATCTTTTCGAAGGTTTGAGCAAAGCTCGTGAGATTCATTTTTTGTTTTAGCTGTCCAGACCGGCGACCTGGCCCAGGGCGCGGAGCTGATCGAACTGGACCGATTGGTAGAAGAAGCTACTCAAGTCCTTGGTGGAGCGAGCAAGGTAACTATTGATGTTCCGCCGTTTTTACTCGTTTAGCGTTTGGCAAACATCGATGTTGAAGAAACTTCTCTATTCTCCCGGCATTTGATGACTTTTCAAAAGACCTTCAGTGACTGGTACCCGCTTATGCTCAATACAACATGTTTTTCTATAGTTTTGGAACAAGAGAAGTCCAAGGCGATGCGCGCCCTCGTGGACGAGATTCTGGAAAGCCGCGGCGCGGAGATGGCCGAGCCATGAGAAGGGGACGGCGCGGTCGTCGCCCAGCGCTAATCGCCTAATTTCGAGTAATTTATTGCACAGGGTTAAACTGATAAATTGTTTGTTTACATTTATTCGTTCCCGTTATTGCTGCCGTAAATTCGGTGCCCAATACTTGCGTTTGTGCCATTTATGTTTTAATGTCGTTTCAGATGAATGAAACGGATATTAGCCTGCCGAAGCGCATGCGCTCCGGCTCTCTATCGTCGCCCGAAAGTGGAATAGGCACGCCGACCCGGAAGGTGACATTGCCGTAGATGGTTTCTATCATTATTTAGTTCCGTCCTCAGCGCAGGCGCCTCACCAGTGACTCTTCAATCACAGATGATAGCATTTCGCTGGTATTTTCACTCTGAAAACATTTGTATTTTTTTAGCACACGCGTTCCAAATCTTCAATCTCGGCCGAAAGTGCAGTCAACATGATGACCCCACAGGTGCATTAGCGATTGTGGATTGAACTTTTTTTAGTTACGTCGTAGGCGCCCGCGTATGACCAGTCGCTCTTCCACCAAGTCCGAAAGCAACTGCACGGTTTCTCTGCTTTCAACTTCCTTTGATTTTTTTCAGGGCTACGGTGGATCGCCGGATTCTGGGGTGGAAATGAGTCCGCTCTCTCACTGGTCTACGGCTCTTGTATCCCGGATTTCCAAATCGGATTACGACTTGTACAAGATAAAGCCGCGCTGGTTTTCTGCCCCGAAGCCCGATAACGAAGAACAAAAGGCGGAGCGAAACTATCGCTCAGAGCGCTGGTTCCGCGTAAGCATCTTCAGTTTCGTTCATTAAAGGGGCTCCGAAATCTGCTCGGTTAATAAAGCGCCAGCGGGCGCGCCAACTTCATCGATGCGCTAGCGGGCGCGCCAATACGGAGAGTGGGAGCGCCAATAGCGCTTATCGGGAAGGGAAGCGCCACTAGCGCAGACGCGCGAAATTATACAAAAAAAGCGCGAAGTGGCGCAATTGCGGTGAAAAGGAAGCGCCCATTCGCGCATTTGAATTCTTGAACACCTTTCAACGGTTCGAAAATTTCACAAAGTCCCTAGAATTATCAAAACGATTTAGAATTATTCACTTTATGTAGATTTTATTAAACACAATGTATGATCACCGTTGTTTTGTTAGAAGTAACTGTTGAAACATTGACTATCTGCTAATTATCGCAATTCCCAAGGGCCCAGGTACAAAGTTTTTTTACAGCTTCGTAAGTTTTATTTTATATGACCAAACCATTGCAGGTTTTGACCAAATATGCTACAAAGCTACATTTTCAGGCGACCATGAAGTTGGGAACTGCGCGCGCCTACATGAGTAAGTCAGAGTAAAAAAGTCTCCCTGAAAAAGAAACATTTAGATTAACTTGTGTCAGTTTCTAAACTTTTAGAACACTTCTTGTAGCGGGCGATTAGATGAGTAAAGGTACGTTAGCTAGCTTTTAGGTCAAATACGCGCGCTGGCGCTATGAAAGCAAAAAAAAAATAGGTTTTACAAAGATTATGCTTCTAAACAAGCTATTTAGATGCGCAGACGGACAATTTTTGGGCTTACACGTCGGATGCGCCTCTTCTAGTGTACCACATCGCAAAAGCGATGCTATTACACCCCTATTTAACAATAAAAACTATTTTACGACAACCCCCGTCCGACCAGCTAAAAGAAATGGGCGCTTTACGAGCGCAATCCGACAAATGAGCGCGCCCAACGGGCGCTTTTGCCAAAAGCGCTAATGGCGCGCCTGCGCGTCCGCTAATAGCACCGTAGTTGGCGCGCCCGCTGGCGCTTTACTAACCGAGTGGTCCACGGCCCCCTGCTGTGATTCCTGGCAAATAGCCAGATGCGGCCGCAACGCGACCGCGCCGCATGTCCTCTAGTCCCTATTTGGACGCGAAAACGCTTGAATTTTAAAATTCTGGTACTATTTTTGGAATCCTCAATGAATTTTGATCATTCCAGATTTTTAAATTATGAAAATTGATTAGAGAATCCCCGAGATCGAGAGATTGGGTGTCTTACAAGGCATTACGACATGGAATCGCCGCGCACTCAATATGACGTTTTCGCCCCAAAAAGAATTCGGCTTTTCTCAAACATTTTACGTTTTTTCGCAATCAAATTACTTTTTTGGCACTTCTCGGCAGTGACCCTTTCGTTTTTTGACCCGTAGGTTCAATCCCCGCACGCACGAATTTTGACTTCTGAGCCCCTTTAAATCTGACTTAGGCTGCCGCCCGCGACAACGAGTGTTATGACGGGCAATGGCCTGAGCGTGTATCGCACTGGTTGAAAGGGGCATATTCTGAAGACGAATGCCGGAAGTTGGTGAGTTTGACACTATGTTTGCCGATTGTATCTCTCAGGCGTTGAAAGTTCTTGGCGTCACTCTACCTGCCAAACAATTTCGGTATCGATTTACGATGTAGGTTTACGTATCTTTTTGTTTAGGTTCCGTCGAGATCCGGCCGACTTCTTTGAAGACCAACGAGTTCCGAAATGTGAATGGGCAACCGCGGACAACCTGTCAGATTCGATGTTGGAGATCGACGAGGCTTATTATGACAACAAGCCCCCGAAACACTTTTACATAGACTCTTTGTGAATTCGCACATCAGATGATTGATTTCTCGCACGGGCCTGTTAATTGCCTGCATTAAGACTTGTACTTGTAAACTCTTTTCTGCACATAAAAATTTGCGATTACTCCTAGGCTTTCACTTTGATTCCAATAAACGATTCTCGCAAATATGAGGATTTATCGCATCGGATTTAGCAGTGTCACCGTGATACATAGCAGGTCTAAACAGCCTTGCCGATATTTTCTACGTGATGCCGGTGGAGACAGCTGTCGTTTTGCCAGCGGGCATGATCGCTAGGGATACATTTTGCTCTTATCATTTTTATACGATTCCACCCCCTACGGGTTTTGAAATATCAGCATATTGGCATCTTTGGTTAGATTCAGGCGCCTTGTTTTCGAAATCATTAAAATACCATTTAGAATGGGATGTCGTGAGAAATTCAAGCTCTGTAGACCGAGCTATTTCACATCGCAAAAAAGCAAAAGCCTCTAAAAACGACTCCACGTAAGGTATCGGCCTCGTATTATAGTGTGTGCGATCTCAAAGTCTGAAATGGAGGTGGTCTTTTTTGTTTTCAGGGCTTCCGGCTCCGAAGTCGGGGCGGTAACTGCGCGAAGGTGGTTGCGGGACGTACTCGTCGAGCCATTAGTCGTCCGTCCGTCCGTCCGTGTGTGTGTGGTGTAACAGGCCGTGCGTGCAGGGCATTTCCCCCTCTCGCCCTGTCTTGCTGTCTCTACTGCACCTCCTCACCACCCCTAATGAATGCCAACGGGTGTTCGTACCGCTTTCTATCCCACTCGCTGCGTTGCATTAGGTCATAGAACTTTCGGTTCTGATTCATTAGCAGGGGGGGTGGTATTGTCGAAATTTTTTCGAGTTTTTGTTCTCGAATTAGCGTCTTCCGCATTTTTTTTGGGATTGTTTTGTATATGAATATGCAGAGAAACAAGAATTATATTCAGATTTTTAGTTACATGTCAAAATACCTAACCAAAAATAGTTATAGCAAAAACAAGGATAAGCTTCAAAATGGAGTTGATCAGCTGATTTTCGATATTTTCGCTATTTGTTTAGACATCCTTTAGTGCGATTCGATAGGGCATTAATCAATTTTCCAAGAGTTTTATACATCATCTAAAATATCGACAAAAACTGTTTCCCTCAATCCCCCCTCTAACGCACTAACTCCGAATTTTCTCTTGTCATTATATAAAGCACTTTTTGCAGTCCAGCTAGTCCGCCAAGCCCGCGTCAGAATTCATTGTTTTCTTTGCGTTATTTATGCAGCTACGCGAAAATGTTTAGACTAGCATCGGCCGATAACTGGGGCTCTTCCCGGATCTCATCAAGTCTGCTTGGGAGGCCCGACGAGCCCTTCTCGCCCCTTATTGTCAACCGCCTAAAGGGGCTGTGTGGACCCCCCGGGGGGTCGCCACCAAAAATCGGATTTGCGTACATCCGCAGTTTGCGTGTCTCTTTCGAGCCCTCCGGCTATCCCCCCGGCCCCCCTCGTCATCCTCAGCTAGCGCCCCCGCCCGCTCATTTTGGCCGCCGGGTTTTTGTGCCTAGCCGCTAGCCGTACGCGCCGTATTGTTGATTTCCCGGTTCTGAGCTGTTAGCAGGGGTGGAAAAGTTAATTAGCCTAGTCTCTAGCCTATACGTACCTAGCAAAATTTTTCGCGTTTTATAAGATTTAAAGTGTTTTTTCTCTAAAGCTTTTCTATTGCTAAAAACGTGAACAAAATTTAGAAATGGTTCAGATTCAAAAGTTTTCGCTTTTCATGCATTTTTTACCAAAAAAAACAAAAATTTTTATGAACCTTGAACGTAGTTTCTATGCTTATAAACGGTGCAAAAACCTTATAAATGTTGTGTATTTTAACGAAGGTAAGCAGCACTTATTTTAGATTAAACCCGTGCCCATCCCCAATAGCTTGCAGAGTAGAAAGCCCCCCTTCTCGTCTCCGGCCAACAGCGGATGGGCGGCTATTTAGGGGGTAGATTTATTGGCGGTGAAGCGGCGAGTGGTCAGCTCCCCGATGCAGACCCGTAAATCTCGATGCTGTTAACAGCAAGCGCCGTTCGCCGCCGATATTCTCATTATCAAAAAAATTTTTAGCGGCCATCATGGGTTGGTTTGTCCGTGTCATCGCGTGTGATTTCACTACTTTTTGCCGTTCCAGGTTCTTTCGTATTATCGGGGGTGGGGGAAACGAACTTTTTTTCTTTGGTATCCGATGTTTCTCATACAGATAGAGGAAATGTTTCTAAACGGTTTTTACGATTCCTGAACGCAATAAAGTATCTAATTTTTTTTTTGGAGAAATATGTACAAGAAATAGAGATTTTTCGACCAAAAACTGGCGAATCAAATCAAAATTATCAAATCAAAAAATTTAGAATTTTTAAGTTTTTGAAGTTTTTTGATCTCAATTTAGTTACGTTTAGTTGATACTTCAATTTAGTTACTTTTTCCTGACAACACTTTAAAAATAATTACTATTCCGTTACTAGGCAATTCTAAACTATATAAAAAATGATCCGAAAACTCCTCCCTCGATAATGCGAAAGCACCACTTTCCATAACCCATCGATCGCCCCACCCTTTTGACCCACCCTTTTTGGTATTCAAACGGGGGTGCCGTGGGAGGGGGGAGAGACACGTTCTTTCGTTCGTTCGGCTGATATGAATCATTGGCTCCGTTCTGAGGGACCGCAGCAGCCACCACTCCTCCTCCTCCTTCTTCTTCTCCTCCTCCGTTCGCTTGCTCGGCCCCCTGTTTTTGTTCCTGCAGCACTCACCCAGGGGGCCGTCCAAATTTTTATCGTTCGTGTGTGGTTGTACATTTTTAGCTTTCTTTTTTTCAGGTTGAATCCCGCGGGTTACCCGACCCGCTACCACCGAAATTATAGGATTAACAAGCAGCCGATACCTGTGTCCCCCCACTGACTGTCTGCGTGTATTTGCCGAGTGTGTGTCTGCGCGCGGGCGTGCTGTTTGCCGCCGGCAACAGGGGTCAATTTTTGGTCGCTCTTTTTGACGGTGCTATGGTTTTTGGGTTTTAATATCGGCTTTATTCCGTTTTAATACTTGGGAAACTCGGTAGAATATCTAATGTATACCTCCAAACACCGAATGATATTTTCATCGAAGTCCAAAAAGCCTAGTAGCGTAATAATTTGTTTTAATAGCGTTGCAGTAAGATTTAATTGTATTTGAAGGCGGATAACTCCCCCAAAAAAATGAGAAATTTCTGAAAATGCGAACATATGTTCGAAAATGCCATTTTGGTAAAAATAATCGCAACTTTTGTATTTTTTTATTCAAAATGACGCTGATTTTTATCTTATGGCATATTAAAGGAAGTTTACAAACGCTTCCCCTATCTATATTGGAAAAATGTATCTTGAGGGAAAAGCCCCCGATAGTGCGAAAGTCCTTTTTTCAGTAGCAGTTTACGCACTTTTACGGATAAAAAGTTATAAAAAATTATTAAATTTTGCATTTTCAATTTTAGAAAATTTTTTACAACTTTTTAGTAACCGGAAACGGTTAAAAAACTATATAAATCGTATATTTTCGATTACAATGGAGGTTAGGCTGAATAAAGGAAGCCAGGGTCCCCTGCTAAAAGCCCCCCCCCGCTAATGAACCAGTACCGAATAACTAGCTAGTCCATGCTATTTTTGGCCGATTTTCTGTATCTTTTTACTCCCCAGACACCGCCTAGCTTTCTTTATTCTTTTCCCGGCGCAAAATGGCGGAAATGTTTTAGGTGATAAGGGGGCGGCGGGGCTCGTTGCGCGTTGCTGCTGCTTATCGAGGTGCTCGGGTGGGGGGCTGGGTTGGCGGCCAGCCCAGCGGGGGTCACCTTTTAGCATCTCTAGCTATGCCGGCTGCTTCTGCTGAGCACCACCCGAAACGGGAATGCCCTCGGCGCGTGTGGCGTTTGTGGCGCGCGCTGGCGGTCGCAATTAAAAGCTCCATAAATTTGTGCCTCGGCCATTGTGCTCGAGTTTTTCCGGTGCTCGATTTGGCTCGACGGGGAGCGGCAATTTAGCGTAGAACTTTTGTGGTTGGCGTTTTTTGTTTTGTTTTTAAGCTTTCCTTTCTTCTTGAAATCTACGCATCCCAATTTTTCAAAAAATTTTGGTGCTAGTGCATGATCGGGGGGAGAGGCTGTTCCTAAGGACCCAATTTTCTAATAAAATTCGAGGAAGTGTTTCGAAATTGTTTTTTTTACTATACTTACCTATTACTTTTTACTAAACGTAAAAACTGACAAATTCTGATTCAAAAATTTCGACCAAAGTTTTCGACCAAGCTTTGAATTTTTAGATGGTTTTAAAATTGTATTTCCTTTGGAAATTGAGTGAAATGGCACTAAAAACACTATCCAGATGGTTTTTATTCTCACTCGGCACTTCTGGACTTCACAAAAATTTGTAAAAAATACAAAAAGTTATTTTTTTTACACAAAATTCGTATATTTTTTGAATTTTCCGCTTGAAATCAGCTTAAGTTTTGCTAAACACATTAATAAAACGCTTGATATTCCACGAATCAACTACGGCAATTATCGGAAAAATCCCCCCCCCGATAATGCCGAAGAACCAAAACAAAACGAAAGTATGATTTTCGAAGCAATGATTGTCCACCGGAATCCATCGCCCAAAAATACACATAGATGCCTTTCCGGTCCCTTTAAAAGCTTCAGGACGCCAGAGGGAGAGGGTATTTTCTGCATTGTGGGTGGGCAAATCGAGCGCGGCGCGGGGGGCGCGCCTTACTTTTTGTCATTCTCCCCCCCATTTCCGTCCGTCCGTTCTTGTGGTGCATGTTGTGTGTGTGTGCGAGGATGGGTCACATTTGTGCCGGTTGAGCGCCCCTTTAACCGACAGCCGCTCCGCCTTGGAATATTCCTTGAGGCGTCGCACACAGCCAAGGTCTTCTCCAGTTTATTGTTGACTCGTGGACGGGAACAAGTCAACAAGGAACTTTAATGCATCTTACGGC